GTGTAACGCAGGTTAAAATCTAATATATTCTTATTTAGACTTTTATAATTTGAAAAGCCCTTAAACTAGCTTCAGCGATAAAATCCTTGAAAGTTTCTATAAAAATAAGAAAGAAATATTATTTTAATTTCTTCAATTTTATTAGTTTGGAATCTAGTTAAGTTTGTACTAGGTTCGGACCAGCATGTAGGTGCAGGATTAATTTCAAAAAACTAAATTTGTTATCAAGTTTGTAATATATTACACATGTGTGGGGTCATGATTGTAGACATACTATTTAGGAATTTTATTAACATTCATAACCCAAAGTTGTATTAGTTTAGTATTTTTGTTTTTTTATTCGACTTAAATAAAAAGAATTATCGGATTTTGTTTTTGCGATTAGTAAAGAAAACTACATATAAAATAGTAAGAAAATGTGGTTGATCTATTTCGGGACAAACATTCATCATGTTCTGTCGCATATATGTTATGTTTTCCATCTCATAACCGTGGTTTTAGTAATAACTTACTCGTTTTTGTCAGGTTGCATGGAAAGTCTTTTCGAAGTGCGTTTCCCGTTTCCAAAACGTTTTGGAAACAGAAACTCTTGGAAACTCGGAAACTATAACGGAAACATGGTTCCTAATTTTTTTTTATTTAGAAACACGATAGAAACTCATGTTTCCATTTTGCAAACCCGACGAAATATTACAGTTTTAGTTAGAAACTCAATAAACAAATATTTTGATTTATGATATATAAAATGATTACTTTTATACCTTTAAAACCTGATTAATTTTATCAAATACACATATACACAATAATATATGATATATAAATATCTGAATTTATGGATTTCACTGTTTTAATATTTAACTTTTAGTTAAACTATTTAGTATATATATTTTAGATTAACGTGTTAGTTTAAATATTTTGTCTTAATATTATTTGGAGGGTTGATGTTAATATTATATATATATATATACATATTAATAGCGTTTCCAAATCTTAATTTCATAAAAATATTTTTCTCGTTTCTGAAACGTTTCGTTTCAGCGTATCCGTTTATGTTTCCATGCGACACATATATTTTAGTACAACATATAGAGAAATAGGTAAAAGAATTAGACCCCACGTGCGGGTGGGGTTTAATTGGTAGGTATATTTATTTGTTGTAGCATTTATAAGATATGAATTAATTATTTTTTTTTATCAAATTTGTGAATGTTTGATATCTGAAACTTGAAACTGAATTTAACCATCCAAATTTTATGACCTCATCTCGTAAGTAGTAAGCTTTATTTTTCATCCTGTATTTTATGAAAAAATTGTTTATATAATGTTTTGTTATCCAAAGTATACATTGTCTTCTTGTACCCGTTATTTCATGTTTGACTATTTGAAATAAATAGTAAAGTGAAAATTAAATTTAACAATTTAAATTACATGTCCCCGTATCGTACTCGTAGTTATATATTTGAAAGTTGAAAGTGAATTTTATCGTGCCTCATAATCTTTATTTGAAAGATGATAAGAGAATCATTATGCCAAATCTTTCAAAATTTCAAAATATTTATATTAGTAATTTGGAAATATTGTATAAATATTAATGATCTTATAACTAAAAAAGAAAAAATATGTACCTAAGATATACTTTATTGGTTGATAAAAAAAGAAAAAAGTTATACTTTATTTTTAGTGAATTAGCTAAGATAAAAAATAGACATCTTTGGTCATTATGACTCGAAGATTTAGATTAGTACACTTGGATTTGGAAAGGCAAAGGCAAGTAGTTCTGTGTTCTGTTCGAACAATAACATTTCCTCTTCAGCTAGTGTCACCCATGCTTCGACTCCTTGTCCGTCCTTAGAGTCGACCAACACGGTCACATTGTCTAGGATGGGAGAAACATTACCAGTGACCCAAACAGGAGATCCCCAACCAAAGCAAGCCTTATAAAGAGGAACCTGTGTGTGTGTGTGTCATAAACCTCGTAGCTGAACTTAGTTTCCGCCATTGCCCCAAGCAATTTCAAACCTATAGTCATTGATGCTGAGCCTTCCTCATATTGAACCAAATGGGATACCTCCTCGGATCTTTTTTTTAGTTCCTTGACAATTTGTACAGTCTCCAAGTTGTCTTTTCCATTCAAGGTTAGGGTGGAGAACAAGGGGTTACCTATTAGGTTTTCCGACAAAACAGCGGGTATCTTGGGACGCAAGTTATTCGCTTGGTACAGAGCTTTCTCACGGGTTGTGTCTGTTGATGAAGCCACAACACATTTCCATATAAGTGAAGTCAAACTCTGAACCCGAGTGGGTCGAGGGACAGCGTCACTAGCGACTTTGTTCCTTAGCTCTTCGATCTTAGATGCTACGAACACAAATCTCTTTGTGATACTTGTTCTCTTACCTAGTTGATCCTCCCCTGGAACTTGAATGGCCCCGGACGCTGGTGGGTAAATCTTTGTGGAACCAAACTCAGGACTGACCACCGTGTCGCCGTCTCCTCGAGCTGTAGCAGCCCAAGCTTGGATAAAGTTTGAGATAGAGACTGCATCGCCGAGCTTATGACTCATGCAGATTCCGATGGCCATGCCACCACACTTGAATTAGGTTGCTTGCATAAGAAGCAATGGCCATGTAGGAATGGGCTCTGCAGCGTCAAAAGGAAGCAGCTGTTGGAGAGATTTGGTGTCTGGGGATCTCAAGAAGTCAGAGAGAAGGCAGTCATCGACGCTTGAGTCCACAAAGACAGCTCCTTTATCGGTACTGTCGATGGTGACTCCATTGACTCTTCCAGCGAAAGGGTGGAACTTTGTTAAGGTCTCGGACAGGGAAGTTTTGAGAGTTTGGGAAGTTTGTTCTTGAGAGATCAAATCATCTTTAGTGTAGAAAAGAAATGCAACGGCGTAGACCTGAGGGATTAGTTGATCCATAATAGAGAGTTGAAGAGTTGGGAGATCATTGGAAGATGGCTTTGATGGCTTAATGATCTCTTTACCAATGGTTTGAACCTTCACTGTCTCCATGGATTGATATATTTCTTTCCCTTTCTTTTCTTTTGTTTGGGTTGTCTACTCTTTTGAGGAGGAAGTGGTTCTTCTATAGAACATATTTGTTCAGTTTTCTAAAGTTTCCAGAGGGAGGTACAAATTATTATTATTCTTTTTTTTTTTTCAATATTTGGCCACAACTGGCCGGCCCATTAGCCTAATCCCTACAAATATGTCTATTTTTTTATCTTATCGACATGTTCTCCGTATGATGTGACTTTTCTTTCTAAGCCCGATTGCGTGGTCATGTTCTCCTCTCATATTGCCTTCAACTGAAAGATCTACATGTCTAACACATGTATAGATATTTTACGTATATAAACTATCGTTTCAATGTATTTATATATATTTTTATAGATTTTTAATTATCAAATTAATGATTTGAAAACTAGTTTTAACTTTTGTTTTTAATTATATATACTTTTAAATAGATACTAATCGGATATCCAAAAAATTGTTCGAACAGTCGGATATTTAATCACTTAATAAGAAAATACAAATTATAAAACTATTTATTCAGACGAAACTAAAAAAATTAAAATTATTACTAAAATTCAGCTTATTCGCTCGATAATTAATATGCACCACCTAATTTAGCTAGAAGCAATATTGTGAACAATGTTACTGAAGTACACACCCCACATCGGTAGTTGAAAAATTTACTCATTATCAATTAGTTTTGAGTTAGAAACCCAAAATAAACCTAAATTTATCGTGATATTAAAGCCACCCATTTGTTAGGTCATCCGGTAAATGTTGTTGTTAGTAAAGTATACAATATCATAGTAGAATTTATCAAATAAATATATCCGAATTTATTAAAGACGTAACCAAAACTTCAGTATGTGGATGCAAGATTTGCGTTTTGAGTTAAAAAGGATACGTTAATAAAGTGCTGAATTTTAATAACATGGGAATCAGAAAGCTAGATCAAATTAAATAAACCGCAAATGAAACAAGTGTGTGTATATTTTATTTATGAATTTGTATGAATACTGCAATTAAAGATGATCAATTTGAATATTAACGTCAACAATAGTATAATATTAATCGTATAATCATCGTATAATAATTACACTACTACAAAGTCTTGGAGATTATCAAATACTTCAATTATTGATGCCTATTGCCTATAATGGCTGCCATGTGACGAAACATGTATTATTATTTGATAACGATGCAACATCAACTAACTAAGCAGTCATTGATGTGTTGTTTTTTGTTTTGTTTCCTTTTTCACTAAAGAATTGTGAAGATATAATAAATGTCACTTTTATATACTACAAAATATTAGAGTATTTTTATGACTAGCACATTATCACTTTTTAGTTTATTCTATAATTTCTTTTTTTTTTTTGTAATTTTTAGTGAATATTAAAAATGGTATGTTACGTAGACTGTAATGAAATTTTTTTTTTTAAGTGTTTAAATGATTTATTAAATAAAGTAATTGAGCAGGCTACATTAAAGATCTTTATAACAATACTAGATAAAGCCCGCGTAAAAATACGGGTTAAAATTTATGTTTTCACGTATGAACTAAAACTATTGCATGTGTTAAAATTTGGAAAATCATAACACTTACAAAAAAATTTAATCAATACTAATTAAATATTATATATCTAATATATATTAAGGTCCGTCTAATGTTACTTATTTTTAAAATAAAGTTAAATTAAAATTTTATAAAAAAATATGTTATATCCAAAGTAGTAAAAAAAAAAAAAGCTAATTTTTTAAGTTAGTAAATTTTTAAGTTACTTCGAAGTTCGAACTCTGTCTTGTTTATGATACTTTTCCTTAGATTCTTTCGATCTTCAATAGATACTCCGTGGTATTGCACTTTGCAGTGCTCACTCATAGAGCTAATGGAATGCTTCACCGATATATTAGAAAATAAAAAAGTATCATGTTTAATTCAAGTGTTCACGTTTATTTAGTTTTAAACAAATCTTGATAATAGTTGGATAGAAGTTTTTTTTATACTTTTAATTCTTTTTTGGATAGACAAGATCCGATCTAGAGCTAATCCCTACTACGTGGGGTAACGTGACTTAGTGCAGTCGAACTCTAATAGAGAAGATGGAACCAAATGAACTTAACCACTTTACTAAAGACACATCCCTTATTTGGATAGAGACTGAGTATAACTCAATGTGAATATGAAAGTTACAGTATCATGAGTCATTATAAAGATATGTCAATTTAGATAGCCTTATATAAGGTTTCCAAATCACTTGATGGGAGAGATGTTCATGTGCATGCCACTAGGGAAAGAAACTAGTGGTGTACGAGTAGCCTCGTCGTCTTGTGCCATTGAGAAATCGTAGTTGGTAACAAGATGGTGAAGAAAAAGTGCAATCTGAAGCCTTGCAAATTCTGCACCAGGACACAGTCTCATCCCACCTCCAAATACCATGAATGACTTAGAAAAATTAACCAGATTTTGTCCCTGTTTTCACATTTTTCATCAAAAATTTTACATTCTTTAGATGATAACTTTTTATTACATATAGAAATTTCTGTAAAAATAGACAAGAATCAGTATATACCTCCCATCTCCAAGGATTAAACTCGAAAGGGTTCTCATATACCGCAGGATCATAATGCCTTAGTGAAGTTGCAACAAACACCATCCAACCCTTTGGAATCGTATATCCTGTTACCAGTTTTCGCACCGTAAAACGTTTAATTTAGTAAATATTTTGAAAATATGTTGAATAAGTAGCCGAATCGAATTTTAAAAATAATACTTACCTTTAATTTCAACATCTATCAAAGTCTTTCTAAACATTACAGGAGCCAGATTTACCAATCTAAGAGCCTCATTAATCACCTGCATTGCAATATATATATATATATTCTTAGTTTCAAATATTTATCATTTATATTATAATTGAAATTACTAATGGATATCTAAAATTTACCATGCTGGTGAAAGTCATGTTGTTTTTGTACTCTTCCCAAGTCACTCCAGAGTTCTTATCAACTCTGTTTTGAAGGATAGCATCATGTTCTCTCTGCCATATTATAAGCATATAATTAATGTCAAATCTATGCTTCTTTAATTTGTCTTCCTTTAACAAGTGAAAATATTGTTAGCTATGAAAAATTATTACCTTTAACTCTAAGAAAACTTTAGGATTATTTTTAATGTACTTTACTGCCATGGACATGACCACAGAAGTTGTATCTTTAGCCGCGATCGGAATAGCATAGGTTTGGAAGATAACATATTTGTCATCTAAAACGACATCTTCCATTATTGTGTTGAGGATGTCATCATGCTTCTCTCCCGATTCTTTCCTTGATTCGAGAGCTTTAGTTATCATCTTCATTGCGCCTCTGCTTGCCTAGATGAAGTTGATAGAGACAATTTTTAGACATATAGTGTAAAAATGTTAATCTTTTTCACTAGACTGGAATACAGTTGTTAGACTTCATATTTTCTAAACATGATATAATTATTTTTATTTTTATAACATAAAACTGTATAATCTATATATTCAAAGCTAATAATATTTTTCTTTCAATAAAATTTGACATATATCGTGATCACGTTAGTTAGTAACTTTTGAAACCGAGCTTTATATAAAAACCAAAGAAATTTTACTTACCATCAAGGATCTGTACAACGATTTCCAGGAAGAAAGACTAAAGAAGGACTTATACCAATCAAGATTGAAGGCCATGAAGATGTTTAAAAGATTCTCTGCAGCCTCTGCTGTGAGGTCACTTATCAACTTGGGAATCAAGTGCCTTATTATCAACTACAAATGAAGCAACAAAAGTATTGTTAAATCTTTTTAATTTCACCAATACCAAAAATAAACAAAGAACTATGTACATACGGTTCCAGCTGCCTCCTTAACATCGAAGCTCCCCGAGCTAGCCTTTGATTTAAGACCCTCATAGGTTCCTCGGTCCATGTTTCCTAACAACTTCTTCTTCAAACCATCAGGGCCAAAAAAGTTGAGAGTGATTTGTTTGAAATGCTTGTGTGTCTTCCCATGATTGACTATCGCGTCATCTCTTTGTAAGACTTTGGTAAACGCACCGGGAAGGCTAAACACGAAAGCCGTGTTCTCTTGGCGAAAAACCTCGACCATTACATCAGGGTCTGTCACTACCACGGTGTTGGATCCAAAAACGTTGGTCCGAAATATTGGCCCGTACCTAAAACGTTCTCAAGATTACAAACATATAGGATAAAAAGTATTAGGTTTCGGTACAAAACCTTTTAGTTATTCTAAGAAAAAACACACTTAAGGTTTTAATATCTTACTTGGACATCCTCTTGAGGATAAAGGGCGAGGTCTCGTTGAATCCATAAGATTTAAAGAAGTCGAGTGTCTCTCCGATGATCGGAAAACCCATTGTTCCCGGAGGTAACTTGCCATTGCACTTGGGGTTTGACCATCGGTACAACCATTTACTGATCAGTACAACAACTAAAGCTGTAACACATATTGAAACGTTCCAAATCATGTCCATTTTAGTGTGCCTTTTTAAGGTATGAAAAGAGGTATTTTGTTCGGATCTTTTGCGGCTCTTATATAGAAAAGAAGAAAATAAGTGCAACAGTTTTTTTTTTATTATTATGTCTTTATCATATGATTTTTCAACGTTAATGTTCAGCAGGAAACCTTGTTTTTTTTGGAGTTTTTATATGTTTTATGGTCAACGATAACGTTCCATTGGCTTATTAAATTATTAGATGATGTTTGGCGTTTATAAACATAAAATGAATTTTCTATTATAAAAACAAAGTTTGAATCGTGGTTATATGGAATTTAAAAGAATATAAAGTTTATTGACTATTACGATAGAGTTTTTTTTTTTTTTTTGTAAACCTTACGATAGAGTTTTAAAAACAATTAATTATAGGAAACAGTCATATGTTATATACTCTTATAACAAGGAGATATTTATGGGTCGGTGAGCGGTATATATAGTACTTCCTCCGTTTTCGAATATATCTATTGCAGAACAAAGGAAATATATTACTCGTTCCATTTCATTTTAAATGATATTTAAGATTATTACATTAAAATTGAAAAATCATATAATATTGATTTTTTCATTAAAATAAAACTAAATAATATGGATTCAACCAATAGAAAAATATAATATATAATATGATTTGTCAAAAATTATTAAATATATTTAATTTTATATAAAAAATTGTTTTCAATTTTTTAGGGCTAAATACTAATTAAAACGAATCAGAGGAAATATAACTTAAGTGATATTAAAGGTTTCCGAAGTCCAAAAACTAATATTGAGGTCGAAAGAAATCATATTATTTATTCGAATTTCATAGCCAATGCTATTCAAACCCAAATAGCGGAAAATTCTCGTACTTATTTTTTCAGCTCTTGGACCAATTTACTAGTTTTTGTTACTTAGACTTTAGATCAATTATTTATTCAACGAATTTTATGATTTAATCCACTTACCATGTTTGTGATCAGTTCATGGTTGTTGGTTATAAAGCCATGGACATGCCTAATCCATCCATGAATCCAAAAAAATATCCTTGCCACATTGTATTACTTGTTAGTTTGCCTTCAATCCAATCCGTTGGTGTGGCCATTGGTTTGCTTGCAGATACAACAAGGATTACTTCGTAAATCTTCACGTTCGTCCATCGGTATAATCAATTTTTTGCACCATTTTCAAGGGTTGCGTATATCATACATAGTGTTATACAATCTTTCATCTCCATGCTCAAGTAGTGTTAGCTGATTAGTAGGCTTATCAATACTCAATTAGTTCACTGAGCTTGGTCCACTTCTAGGCCTTGACGAAGCCATCTTCAACCTCTCTGTGATTAAGAGATTTTAAAATACCTATCGTAAAGTTGATTTATGATTCATAGAGTGATTATTTTTCGGAAACAAAAACTCTTGAAAATTCGGAAACTACACTAAACTCTTGAAATTTGGAAACTACACTGACAATTTCTATTTTTTTCGGTTTAGAAAAAAGACAGAAAGTCACGTTTCCATTTTAAAAACTCGACCAAATATTACATTTTTAATTTAGAAACTACATACACAAATATTTCGATTTATGATACATAAAGTGATTACTTTTATACCATTAGAACCGAATTAAATTTAATTGAAATATACATATACAATAATATATGATATACAAATATCTAAATTTATGGATTTTCAATGTTTTAATATTTATCTAAATTTAGTATATATATATTAGATTATTGTGTTATTTCAAATATTCTTTCCCTAATATGGTTTGGATGTTTAATATTAATATCTATATTTCCAAAATGTTTTCATATCTTAATTTCATAAAATAGAAGTAGTTTCTCGTTTCTATGTAACATAGGCTAACAGAAATAAAAGATAAATAGAAAGATAAAAGATTTCCTATCAATCTTTAACTTTTTTTTTAGATATATAAACAATGATTACATCATCTTCAATACAACTAAATCGGTAAAAAATCTACATCACGTTTATATTATTATTTTATAGTGTAGACGTTTTATGTAATTTGGGCAACAATTCACCCACATTTTTTTATACTTTTCTTAGTTTTATAATAAGTATTTTATATGGTACCGAGGATAATGCGTACAAATTAAATATAGTTAAGTAAACACATGATTCGTGAGTTATGAGGTCCTTTCAAATGATTTTTTTAAGTTACCATGTACTTACGTATTACCCAAAATCGAGATCTATTCCCACTTTCCAAGTCGTTTACAAATATTATAATTGGGATACTTAAATAGTATCATATTATATACCAGAAAAGTATCAATATACTAACTCAGAGTATCCAGATTAAAATTAATCACCCTGGATAATTTAAGTGTTATTCATAAGGGAGATTGAGAGTAATACATATTATGTACATATATAACAAATATTGCTTTAAATCACACGCATAAATTTTTTTTTTGGGTCAAAACAAAGTAGATTATCATAAACTTACCTGAGTTTCTTACAAGGAACAGAGCATCTTTTGCCAGAGTATCATCTCGGCGATTCAGTTCTCTAGAAATAAAAGTGAAAAAACAGGAGCTGAAATTAGAAGATAACTCAAGGATATCGTGGAGAATCCCGTGGAGTTCCTTAGAAGGAAGCACCAAATTAAGGGCTTTGACTAGTATCAACGAGTCAGAAGCGAAGAGAACGTTGGATAGACCCGATTCAGTTGCAACTCGGACCGCAGTCAGAGTTGCCAGGGCTTCGGCCATCAACGGGGATCGGACATGGCGGCATGCCATCGACCCGGTGGAGCAAGTTCTGTTTTGGCTATCCGTGAAGATCCACCCCAACCCGGCTTGCCCAGAATCCATCCAAGCAGCATCCGTATGAATCGTAACAGTATCGGGTGGTGGTTTGATCCCACAGGGCTGGTTACGAGTTGGTGGGGCAGAGCCATGTGTCATACCTTGCGCCTCATGCCATTCTTTTGCTCCGATAATTGCTAGAGTCAGGGAATCATAGCCGGGAATAGATATCTTCTTAAAAATCAATTGGTTTCTGGCCGACCATATCGCCCAAAGGATCCACGGGGCCAGTGGTCCGGTTATGCCTGAAGGGGGGAGGCAATTTAGCTTATTCAGAGCAGTGATCGTTCGCCCAATCGAATTCACAATATTCAGGTTTAGACACACTGCAAGGGGGGCTCTTGCCCAAATTCCTGCGGCGTAGGGGCACGAGAAGAAAAGATGGGCTGTTGATTCCGGAGCTCCATAGTGGGGGCAGACTGCAGAGTCGACTATTCGCCTTCTGATGAGGTTCTCTCCCACCGGTAAGGAGTCATGCGCCATTTTCCAAAGAAGGTGCTTTGTTTTCTGGGAGGTTTTTGATGGGCCTATACGTGGTAGTCGGCCCGTTCGAGAAAGAAGGCCTAATCCGCGATACATGGATTAAGCGGTTATGGAGCTTTGGTGTTTTAGTTTTCGGTTTTGGTTTTATAATTTCCTTTTGCTTTGATAATTCTTAGTTAAGTTAGGATTGGTGTTATCTTAATCTCTCCTTATCTCATTAGAACTCAATAGTTCTTTCTGTAGGATGTTTTGATATAAATATAAGAAAAGCCAAAAAGAGGTAGTCATAACTACCCATTCAACAAAACTTGTGTATTGTCTTCTTGCAACTCTGATTGGGACTTTACCAATTGGTATCAGAGCAATATCTCGCTATTGATTCGGATCACTTGTGGTGTCAAGAGCAATCCATCTACGTCGTGTGATTCGGACCACAAGTTGTGGTATCAAACATGGCAACTACGAACAAAGAAAGGATCGAGGAATTGGAATCTAATGTGACAGAACTAAGAGAAGGACTCGCGAAGCTTAATCACGACATGTCAAGCAAGTTTCTGTCATTAGAGGGAGCAATGAATCGTTTAACGGAAACATTAACGACATGACGTGACGGAGATTCAAGTGCTGCTCGTTCTCACCAGAGAAGTGGCGGACAAGATCATCAGATGCAGGCTCGTACGGAGGTGTCTAACGCGATCGTACCAGCACGAACGGTGAAGCTGGATTTTCCACGTTTCAGAGGTGGCGACCCGACGGCATGGCTAAGCAAAGTCAAGCAGTACTTTGACTACAACAACACCCCGATGGATCAGAAGGTTCAATTTGCATCATATCACTTCGAGGAAGAAGCGAATGAGTGGTGGCAGGCGACGTCAAAGACACTACAAGAGGATGGGCTTCAGATCACGTGGGCCGTGTTCGAAGAAGAGCTATGGATGCGTTTCGGCCCAACAGACGGGGATGATTTTGATGAAGCATTGTCAAAAATACAGCAAACGGGGACTCTTCAAGAATACCAGCGAGAGTTCGAGAGGCTGCAGAATAAAGTGGAAGGCTGGACCCAAAAGGCTCTTATCGGAACGTATGTAGGAGGTCTTGATCCTATTATTGCAGACAGCATTCGTATGTTTCGGCCAAAAACATTAAAGGAGGTCTTAAACTTGGCAAGAATGAAGGATGAACAACTCCAACGCCAACGTCGGAAATTCCGATCACCATCGCAACGTGCTCTGCCAACCAACGCTTTGAGTCGTCTGAACCCTTTAAAGGAACCAGATCCGATGCCTAAAGAAGGTTCTTCACGTACCCCACGCAAACTGAGCTGGGAGGAGCTTAAGAAGAAACGAAGTTTGGGATTATGCTTTATTTGTGATGAAAAGTATATTCCGGGACATAAATGTAGACAACCGCAGCTGTTCATTATGGAGGGTGAAGACGAGGACAGCGAAGAGAAGGCAAATGACTCTCAGGAAGAAGATGAGACTGTGGAAATCTCGGCATACGCACTTACGGGGTGGAATGCACCACAAACTATTCGTTTGCACACTACAATTGGGAAGCACGAGTTGGCTGCTTTAGTTGACAGTGGCTCGACACATAATTTTGTGAGTGAAAAGACAGGCCGCGACTTGAAGTTAATCTCCACACCAGTTAAGGCATTCTCAGTTAAAGTAGCAGATGGTAAACCCTTACGATGCCTTGGTAAGTTCGAAGACGTGCTCATCACGGTTGGAGGCGTTGAATTTACTATGACACTTTATATACTTCCCTTGATTGGCCTCGACTTGGTTCTCGGTGTTCAGTGGCTTAGTGGCTTGGGACCAACTGTTCGTGATTGGAAGGCTCAAACCATGGAGTTTCGCTGGGCTAATAAGGTTCACAAGCTACACGGCTTACAACCTCAACTACAGGAAGCACGGTTACATGAAGTGGAAAAAGAGGCACGTAACGGACAAACTCTATTTGCTATTCAGGTGGACCATAACGCAACAACGGCATCGGTTATACCCGACGATTTAAAGGCCCTAGTCCGTGAATATGACGAATTATTCAAGCAGCCAACACAGCTTCCTCCACATCGAACAATTGAGCATCGCATAGCCTTAAAGGAAGGAACGGATCCGGTTAATGTGCGCCCATATCGATATGCACACTTCCAGAAAAATGAAATTGAAAGGCAGGTTAGTGAGATGTTACAAACGGGTATAATCCAGCCTAGTTCAAGCCCTTTTTCGTCTCCAGTACTTCTAGTTAAGAAAAAGGACGGTACGTGGCGTTTTTGTACCGACTATCGTGCATTGAATTCGGTGACGATAAAGGACCGGTTCCCTATACCAACGGTCGATGACATGTTGGATGAACTCCATGGGGCAGCATTCTTTACAAAATTAGACTTAACGGCTGGATACCATCAAGTTCGTATGCATACGGATGATGTTCCAAAGACGGCTTTTCGCACACACAACGGTCACTATGAATATTTGGTAATGCCGTTTGGCCTGTGCAATGCACCATCAACATTCCAAGCTCTCATGAATGACATTTTCCGGCCTATATTGCGAAAATTTGTTTTAGTCTTCTTTGACGACATTCTCGTATATAGCCCGACTTGGGACTCTCACAAGTCGCACGTGGAGCAGGTTTTTTCTATTCTCCGACAACAAAAACTGGCGGTCAAGCTTAAAAAATGTGAGTTTGGGCAACGTGAGTTGGAGTACCTAGGCCATATAATCTCGGATGCTGGAGTCAAAGTGGATAAATCGAAGATACAAGCAATGTTAGATTGGCCTACACCAACGACGATTACGGAGTTACGTGGATTTTTGGGCTTAACCGGTTATTATCGAAAGTTTGTACAAGACTACGGAATCATAGCCCGACCTTTGACCAACCTCTTGCGTAAGGGCTCCTTTGGCTGGGGACCAGAGGCGGATAAAGCTTTCCTTAAGCTGAAAGACGCCATGACAACAACGCCAACGTTAGCTTTGCTGGATTTTACTAAAACTTTTGTCATACAAACTGATGCGTCCGGAGATGGTATTGGGGCGGTATTGACTCAAGATGACCAGCCAATCGCATTTATGAGTCGCTCTTTGGGGGTTACAAAGAAGTCATGGTCGACATACGCACGAGAAATGTTGGCTATTGTGGTTGCTATTCGGACGTGGAGGCCATATTTGATTGGACGACACTTTATTATTCAAACAGATCAGCGGAGCTTACGTTACCTCTTGGAACAACGGATTTTGACCCCGGAGCATCATGACACGCCTATGGGGGGGCATTCCGGTGTGTTACGGACTTACAAACGTTTGGCTCGACTGTTTTACTGGCCAGCAATGCACCGGGTCGTCAAACAGTACGTCGCTGAGTGTGAAATTTGTCAACGCGCCAAGTCGACTTCTCTTGCACCGGCCGGGCTTCTCCAACCATTACCTATTCCGGATCAAGTTTGGGAGGATATCTCCATGGACTTTGTGGATGGACTACCTCGTTCGAATGGTCATACAACAATTATGGTAGTGGTTGATCGGTTGACAAAGTCAGCTCATTTGGTTCCCTTGGCTCACCCCTATACGGCTAAGGTCGTCGCAGCTAAATTTGTTGATTATATTGTCAAATTACACGGTATGCCCCGGTCAATTGTCAGTGACCGCGATCCCATTTTTGTGAGCTTGTTTTGGAAAGAGTTTTGGAAATTGGCAGGTACAAAGTTGCGGATGTCTTCCGCCTATCATCCACAGACGGATGGTCAAACAGAGGTGGTTAATCGGTGTATCGAGCAGTTTTTACGTTGTTTTGTTCAGAACCGCCATACACAATGGAGTTCTCTTCTTCCTTGGGCCGAGTTTTGGTATAATACTTCGTATCATTCGTCGACGGGTACTACTCCTTTCCAAGCTCTATATGGTCGGCCACCGCCTGCGATTCCACAGTATGACGTCGGTTCTTCGACGCTCGCAGAGATCGATGAGCAACTCGCTTCTCGCGATGAGCTCCTTTCCGAGTTAAAACACCAGCTACATAAGGCTAATAACCGGAATAAGCAGTTGGCCGATGCAAAACGTCGAGAAGTTACTTTGGAATGTGGCAGTTGGGTTTACCTTCGTCTCCAGCCGTATCGGCAGCGGTCAGTGTTACGCCGGACGTCGCAAAAGCTTGCACATAAATATTTTGGACCCTTTCAGGTCGAGGAACGGGTTGGTGAAGTGGCTTATCGTCTCAAGTTACCTTCCGGGTCCCGAATACATCCAGTCTTTCATGTTTCTCTACTTAAGCCGCATGTGGGAACGACAATGCCGGCGCCGGGAGCTCTTCCGCCGTTACGAGAGAGTGGCTATTTGCACTTACAGCCGGAGCAAGTCTTACGTCGGCGATCAGTTGCGACGGGGACCACATCGCATTCCGAGCTCTTAATCAAATGGAAAGGCCTTTCTCCGGAAGATGCTACATGGGAGGAGGAGAAGCAGGTTCACGCCAGCTTTCCGGATTTCATTTTGAACCTTGAGGACAAGGTTATTGTTCGTGGGGAGGGTATTGATGGGCCTATATGTGGTAGTCGGCCCGTTCGAGAAAGAAGGCCTAATCCGCGATACATGGATTAAGCGGTTATGGAGCTTTGGTGTTTTAGTTTTCGGTTTTGGTTTTATAATTTCCTTTTGCTTTGATAATTCTTAGTTAAGTTAGGATTGGTGTTATCTTAATCTCTCCTTATCTCATTAGAACTCAATAGTTCTTTCTGTAGGATGTTTTGATATAAATATAAGAAAAGCCAAAAAGAGGTAGTCATAACTACCCATTCAACAAAACTTGTGTATTGTGTTCTTGCAACTCTGATTGGGACCTTACCAGTTTTAACCCGCCATATCGAAGAGCTCCAATTAAAATCGTCCAAGGGATTAGGCAAATGATCAGGGGGAGAGGAAGATGCTGCTGCATCAGAAGTGGTCTCATAGTACCCAGATTTTACAGAATACTCACCCGAAACAGATGGAAGCCAAGCCCAGGCATCAGGAGCACCTTTTTTACTGGGTCGGAGTTTGAGAATTTCCTGGGCATAAGCGGGAAGAATTTTCATGACCAGGTGCACATTCCATTCCCGAGATTCAGGTAACAATAAGTCGGAAACTTTTAGGTCTTGCCAGTCCTTTGTGGGACGACCTATTGGTTGTTGGGGGGTTGAGAGAGAGAGAGCCAGGGACTATTCCAAACAGAAATGGATTGTCCTGTGCCTATGATTTTACCTAGTTTGGGTTTAAGTAGATCTCTGCCAATGCAAATGCCCTTCCATCCATGAGAAGCTGAACTTGGTACAGGGCTGTCTAGAAAGTCAGAGGTAGGACAGTATTTGCCCAACAGAACTCTTGCCAAGAGGCAGTGTGGTTTAGTGAGGATCCGCCAGCTCAGTTTTGCAAGGAGTGCATCATTAAAGCCCTTAATATCTCTGAAGCCGAGTCCCCCATCTCTGAAGGATTTGGTCATTTTTGTCCAAGAGATTCAACACATCTTCTTCTGTCCTTTGTTTGAATCCCACCAGAATCTTGTGAGTGCTGACTGGATACGGGAACATAAGGAAATTGGTAGCTTAAAGCAGGCCATTGTGTAAGTGGGCATAGCAGCTAAAACTGACTTGAGCAGAGTTAGCTTTCCAGCAGAGGATAAGAATCTTGAAGACCAGCTAACTGCTCTTTGCTTGATACGGTCCACTATCATGCTGAAAACATCCTTTTTTTTCCTCCCAAAAACCTCAGGTAACCCCAAATATTTACCTTTGCCTCCTTCTTTATGGATGTTCAGGATTCTTTTCACCCTGTCTTTTGTTGCTTTTTTTGTCTTGGCTGAGAAGGTTATAGATGATTTCTCTTGGTTTATCTTCTGCCCAGAACCCTGTTCATACTTCTGGAGGATACTGGCCAACTTGTTGCAGCTCTTTGGCTCAGTACTGCAGAAAAACATGGTATCATCAGCAAACAAGAGGTGATTAATTCGAGGGCTGCCCTTTGCAACTCTAATTCCCAGTAAGCTTCCCTGATCCTGAGCCTTACTGCAAAGTCCAGACAAAACTTCACTGCAGAGGATGAACAGATAAGGGGAGAGAGGGTCTCCTTGTCGAATACCTCTCTGGGGTATTACCAGTCCTTTGGCTTGCCCATTTAGTAAATAAGAATAGGAGACAGTGGTTATGCACTGCATAACCCATTGGATCCATTGGTTGTGGAAACCCATTCTTTCAAGGACTGCTTTTATGAAGTCCCATTCCAGCCTGTCGTAAGCTTTGCTCATATCGGTCTTTATCGCCATAAAACATCTTTTTGAGCCTTGGAAGTTTTGAGATAGTGTAGGGTTTCATGAGTTATAAGCACATTATCTGTTATTGCTCTCTGAATATGTATTTTAAAAGATATGAATTAAAAAGATATGTATTTTAAAAGATATGATATAAAACATCACACGCATAAATAAATATGTATTTTATAAGATATGAATTAAAAAAAATTAGAAGGGATTGAGACGTATAAACAAATGAGATTATTAAAACAAATGAGGCAATTAATTCTGCTAACAACCATGTGATTAGCTTATATTTAATAAGCTAACAGTCTAGGTTTATATTTTTTTTATAGTATGGAGCTTTATAATTTAAAGAGTCGATGCAAAGATTTCTTTTATCTCTTTTAGTGTATCTTTTTTAAATTACTCCCTTAATATATCTATTTTCAAAAATATCCCTGTTAAATATAAAAAATTATGAAATTTTATATGAACTACAAGGTACTTTTATATAATAACCACTACTGGAAAATTCGATACAAATATTTCATAATTTTTTAAAAGGTTTTAAATCGTTTTTAAAAATTTGATAAAGTTTTTAAAAGGGGTTATAAGGTATTTTAAAAAACTTTATAAGTTATTTTTACAATATTTATGAAAGTTATATAAAATTGTATACACATACAAAAGTAATTTGTGTGAATATTTATAAGTTTATAAACATATTTAGATAGATTTTAAAGTTTTTTTGATAAAGTTTGAAAATAGAGTATTTTTTAAAAGTGATAATTTTAAAATTTCCCCTTTATTCATTTATATTCCTTAAAACGTGTATTTTTGTGTGTTTGTGTGTGTTTTTTTAATTGAGGACTGACTTTTATAGTATATAATAATAAAAGATTCTTGAAGAAAATAAGAAAGATCTACTTCAATTATGCATGTTACTGTGTTAGACAAAGGGTGTGGTTTGTTCACATCTCTGAAATAAAATATTAATTATAGTAAGAGATATTATATCATTTGAGAGACACATAAACAAATAAACAAATAAGCTACGGTGATGTCTCTCTTCTATTTTTTTTTGTCTTTTGTATTATAAAGTTTTTAAATGGACAATTCTTACAAAAAACTATGTTTTAAAACGAAACATTCATCTTAAACGCTATATCTTATCTTTAAAAAATTAATACTCTAAATCTAAAATAGTCAACTAAGAAATAAAAAATTTCTTCTTTAAAAATAAATGAATTTTTTTTAAAAGAAATATTTCATAGTATTTTTTAGAAAAATAAAATAATAGTGAAGTTTTAGAAAAAAAAATAATAATAAGACAGAACGAAACACAAAATCTTGAAAAAAATAATGTTTTGTAATTTTTTTGTGTGATTTTAGTGTTATGCTAAATAATTTATTAACAGTATAAATGAAATCGTATCGTGATAAAATTATAAGTTATATGTTAAGTTTGAAATAATTCTGATAAATCATTTATTATCGTGTTGAATAATTGTATCATATTGTAGAAGCTAAAAACATATGACCTATAAATGTTGGATAAAAAAGTCTATAATTTATTGATATTTAGTACTTCATCTCGCTAAGCTATTTGTTACCATATATAGAGGTATTTTTGTCCAACTAAAGTAACTATGAAAGGGAATTAATTTAAAAAATACTAATGTCAAATACTTAATTTTTCATATATTTGAGTATACAGAGTGGTATTTCTCTAGTTATATTCCACATATTTATGATAAATCACCGTAACTCTTGTAAAATTTCTAAAACAATATAAGATTTCAAAAAACAAAAAGGACAGATAACTCAAATATAAATAGTAAGGATAAATTACTCATTTTTTTTCTCTGTCTCTTATTTCCAAAAATATAAGTATAAAAGCGGATAAGTTGATACGCAAATTTCTAACTATTCTGCATTTTTTGAGTTTGTAAACAATTTTCCGTCCAATTGACTATTATGAGTTAATTTAATTTAGTTTGTTTTTGCCAAAAAAAAAAAAAAAAAAAAAAAACAGGACAAATTACTCATCTAATCTACTTGTGAAATAATTGTCTCATCATGTATTGTGGGACTGGTGATATCATTGTATTCACATATATCTTGGGATCTGGAGTAAAAGTAGAGTCATGAACCATTTATCAATTTTATCAAATAACTAATATACAATTTTAGTACTTACAGGAGACGTGACAGGTGATGTGTTCTTAAAAGAGGATACTAGGATGCTTAATGGAAGATATTAGGATGCATTTAATTTTCTCTTGATCATGTGCTCTTCTGATTCATTTGTAACATTTGAATATATATATATATATCCAAATAATTAATCTAAATGAGATTTTTTTTTTTTGAATAATCGAAAAGGTTCTGGGCCCGTAAGTACATACATCCCCTTATGCCCGAAATCAGAGCATGTTATATAGTGTCGTCCCAAACGCTACTCGAACCGGCGACCTCTAAGCTTTTACCAGAGATTTTTACCAATTAAACTATTAACACTTGATTATCTATATGAGATCTTTCTTTTGGACCAAAGCATTTTCATTCGCTACAAATTTCAAACGAGAGAAGTTCATACAAATTGAAGCTAAGACAATACAAAGACAATAAAGATTTAGATCGTAAGATGTCCTCCTCATAAATGATCAACTGGCACAGACCGTAAGCCGGAAGCCAAGGTCGAGAGCTTGTAATAAGAGTTCTCTTCATATAGAAGGAGGATGTGATATATATAGATTCTCTATAAAACGGATCAGTAGTTGAATACTACGGTCACATATATTAGATATTCAAAATTTACAGTATAGATTTGATCTCCTCATCTAAGCTTCGATTTAATATACTATTTATCAATACTTTACAAATTTAACGGTGGGCGACGGGTTATATTGCATATCATTTTTGATTTAACGAGTTATTTTTGAACTTTTGAGAATTGAAGGACAAAGTTGCAAAACATAACAGCTTTGGAAGTTAATTCTTTTTTTTTTTGCATAAAACCCTACTTCTAAATTTCTAATTACTGTTTCATCGCCTAATTATTAATTTGCACTTTAAAGCTATATAAAAGAAAAAAATCCACTACTATGCTGGTTTGTACTGGGCCTGGGTCATATCAGTTAGAAAACGAAACACTAAAAGCAGAGTCGAAGACTAGTGTAGTAGTAGTTGATTTTTAAAACATAACATAAAATTTATTAGTAGAACAATCTTTATTCAATAAAACAAACTTTCAAATACAACAAACATAATGAAGTTGAACGTTTTTGAACACATCATAACAAAGCTGTAAGCAAAGTCATGAACTCGGATTCTCAAGATTCAAAGTTAAAGGGTCGTTTCTAACCACAGGAGTACACTTAAACGGATGAGCCATGGCTAGATTCATTCCTGCAGTAGTTTCTTCCATGTTAACCTTGTCTTCTTTGATTTTCCAATCAAAACACTGAACCATCACACCAACCGCGATACCTACAAAGAGATAAGCTAGATTTGATCCAGGACAGCCTCTCCTTCCAGCTCCAAAAGGAAGGTACTTCATCATGCCTTGCTCTTTCTCATCTTCTTGTCTTGATCTCGAAGAAAGTAAGAACCTCTCTGGCTTAAACTCATTAGGATCTTCCCAAGTATCAGGATCTCTCATCAAAGCATAAACATTAATAACAAGCATTGTCTTCTCTGGCATGTAAAAGCCTTTGACCTCACAACTCTCTTGGAATGTTCTAACCAAGAGCGGCGATGGAGGGTGCATTCGTAGTCCTTCCTTAACCGTCGCTTGCAAATAAGGCAGGTTTGGTAGATCAGTTTCTTTCATCAATCTTGATTTCCCTACAACCGAATCGATTTCTTCTCTAATTCTCTCAAGAATGTTAGGCTTGTTAATAAGTTCAGCCAATATCCATTGTACTGTTTGCGCGGAAGTGTCAGTTCCTCCAAGGAAAATCTCCTACATAAGTACATAACATATAACATTGACATTGATTCTCAATAAATTGACCAAATGTGAAGTGAAAGAAGAGTGTTCTTACCACAAACAAAGACTTAATCTGCTTCCTACTGATCTTATACTCCGCGTTTTCGTCCCGGTAAGCTTCCAACAACAAATCCATCATGTCCTTATTTTCATGCTCCTCAACTCTCTCTTCATGTTCCACAAGAAGCCTCTCTAGCAAATCGTCGAATTCGCTAGAAACTCCCATTATCTCCTTTTTAAACAGCGGGATTCGAGGAAACATGTTTGCGAAAAAGATCTTCTTCGTTAAGGCAGTTGACTTGACAAGCAATTCTCTAACTCTCTCCGCCTCACCATTCTCATCTGAACAACTCCTCCCCATACTCATCCTACATATGATGTTATTAGTAAGCTTCATTGCTTCCTTACTAACCTCAATGCTCTCTTTCTTCATTGCCTTATCCAAAAGGTTCTCATAAAACATTTGTAGCTCCTCTGCCCGGCCGCCTCGTGATTGCTCAATCGCTTGCGGCCGGAGAAGCTTTGTAGCAACCATCTTCTTCATGAATTTCCAGTAATCTCCATAAGGAGCAGTGATGAAACCAGAAGATCCAAGAAAAAGAGAGTCGCCGAGGGAAGTTGCAACTCGAGACGAGACGTTCACATCATGTGTCTTGTAGATCTCGTAAGCCACTGATGGGGAAGAGACAAGAACTATAGGCAAATTTACGACACGAAGATAAAGAAAAGAACCGAACTTAGTGGATATGTTCTGAAGTGACTTGTGAGTAAGATTTGAGAGGAGAAGATGAAGATGACCGATGATTGGTAGAGAAGGAGGGCTTGGAGGTAGAACACAGCCAGCGCGTGAGCCTTTTTGTTTCTTGAATAAGAGATAGTAACAAAGAAGTGATAAGATGATGAAGATGAAACAGTTTTGTAAGTCAATGGTCATTAGTGTCGCCATTGTTGCTCTTGCTCAAGCTGCAGAGGAAAAATGAAACAGATCAATTGATTTGTTTATTACCTAAATATAGATTATATAATATGTTATTTTTTGAACCAAATTAATGAAAGTTGAAATTATTTTCTTCTTAATAATCACTATAAAATAATCAAATCTCAGAAGTTATTATACTTAATATAAAGCGTGACAAATGTGCCAAATAATATTATTTAAAATTTACTTTCTCCGCACAGTTTGGTAAGGTACTATACTACGGGGGGGACAAAGTACTATACTACAACTTATAAGGATAAAAGAAAGAAAATTTGTTTGTTTAACATTTTTAATTTCCATTATTAGTATTATTTATATTTATAAATAATTTTAAATTTTAAAAGATAATTATATTTAATTATATTCATTTAATTCACTATTTTATTTTATTTTATATGAATCGTTAAAAGTGTTATAGACTGTAATATGTGTTATATTTTTGAGAAACGCATTAATACTGAGAAAATATATTATTTATAGAATACGAAAGAAAGAGTTCAAAGATATATATATGTTTTGAGTAGTGGAAATACACCAATAGAAAGCTATACTAAAATACATTGAAGAAAAAGCTAAATAAAAAAAGAAAAATTAATTAGTAAAAATAGATACAAAACATAATTAGTACTGACTTTGGAAATGAAATGCCTTGAGTAGGTAAAAACATTTTAACTGCTAATATTTCGGGAAATAAATATTCAAGTAAAAATATAAATTATTTCGATGTGTAAAAGTTAAAGTTTCAGACTTTCAGTTTGACAAAAAAAAAAAAAAAAGTTAAAAGTTTCAGTTTTTTTGCAAAAACTTTCGTATGGGTTAATTTCAAAGGACATGTAATGGTTTTATATTGTGGGTTATAGAGTTGGGTTCTAATAATGTGGACAGGGCCGTGCTTGCTACGGGCTATAGCATCACTTTGTCTAACTAATAATACTTGGGATTCATAAGTAGCCAGATATAATAATCTATCTTTGTTATAAATCGTATGCTAAGTTGTTGTTAGATCTTGATTGTTGCTTTGCATGACCATTAAAATTTGAAATATCATCCGCATACATAACTTTCTTTGCATGAACATTAGAATTTTATGAAATCCTAAAGAATAAATATATGTTTCAGAGCTGTCTTTTGTAAATCCTAATCTGTTTTTTGTTTACAATCAATCAAAATTAGAGGTGAGTGCGTGGGCATGGTTTATCTAAGTTTGATGGAATGTTTTTATGCTTGTTTGAGTGTGCATATGGATTTGTGGATTTGGATATGTGGCTGCTTGTATAGTTTTTTGTTGGTTTGCTCATGTTTTACTGTTATGGTTTGTGGGGATCGGTTTTGGAGCAGGGATTCAATGTTAGGAGTGGCAAGAGTTGATTCCAGGGTTTTTATGGAGGCAGTATCGACATCAGGTGGTTATCAATCGAGACCAATCGTGTTGAGGTGGTGATCGATCCTAGGAGGGGTATCGATCGACACTAATGCTGGCTGGAGGCGTTTTAGCTTCATAAAATGTGTAGTTGACTATTGTTTTGGGTTTGATTATGTGTCATTGCATTTTATTTTTCTTGTGTGTAGAGCTTACTTGCTTAATTGATGGGAGGATCGTCATATTGAGTAGTTGTGATAATATTCATGCATCTCTTTTCTGTTGTACTATAGGTAAACAAAAAATGTGATTATGGTATCATGGTGATAAAGAAAGGGTTGATATAGGATCTCGAGTTATTTGTTTTGGTATATGTTATTTATGTTTCCGGTGGAATTTGGTTAGAAACATGTTTTAGGATGCTAAATAGTATTGTTTTATTGAATTAATGGTTTAACTAATTGACTTATGAAGTTGATCAGTTACTGGTTATTGCTTTAGTTTGTTGGTTGTTTTAATTTTTTTGTCAACAGTTTAATTTCTATTTTATGGAAAATAAAAAATAACGATGTATAAAAGTAAAAATTGGGTTTCTTTCAATAAAGAAAAAAAAGCTTTTCAATTTGCCATCTTTTTCTATTTTTGCCGTTTAATACATGTAGTTCGAACTAGATTAAAAATACTCAGGTTATTTAATTTTGTTTGTAAAACTGTTTGTTTATTAAACCGTTGGTTGAATCGTACTCAATACTTAACTGTCGTTTACGGCATACGAAAACGCTAACTTGAGTTAAGTCTTATCTTCACATGGTTAAGTAGACTAATCGAAAAACAATATTGCCTTTCTAATATTTCCCCCAAATTGATTTAGGATCGAAGAACCCTAAATTTCGGTCTGGAATAGTGCTCATATATGAAGTAATCCATAGATTATCCTGGTTATATCCTTGATTGTTAAAAATAATTCTTTCTTAATTATAATTTGGTTCAAAATTTAACCCGTTCAACCAATATTTCATTATTTTACTAATCTAATAGATATCAGATTATTTGACATGTTGTTTTAATTAACAATAGCATAAAAAACAATCATTGAAGTTATAAAATGAATTTAGCTACAGATCTATGTATTAATTTAGTTATAAATTACAAAATGAGTCAGGTACAGATCTTTCACATCGTCACAACTCACACCAAATCTCTTCTAATCTCTATATATATAATATATTCTTATAAAGACAAAATCTTCTATATATATATATATATTAAAATTAAGACAAAATCGTCTTCACGTGAATGAATCAATCATGAAACAATGTAAACTGAAGATTCACAATCGTCACACGTAACCAATATAAACCGTATATTTAAAACGAGTCAGGTACAGACTCAATTATGTGAATATGGACCAATATTATCTTATCTTATCTTCACGTGAACCAATCGTTGTTATATTAATTTTAAAAAGTACATAACGTGATTCTCATGGAAACTCTCAACGTCTCTCTAACCAATATATACGGTGGAATCATTTTTAATTTAGTTTAATTTTAATATATTGGTTTGATTCCATGCTGTTTTTATATTGGCATTGCTAGAAAACAATAAAAACATAAATATATTAAAGTATTTTTTGTCCAAAATATATATATATATATTAAAGTATTTAATAAGTTACTATTTAAATTTTTTTTTATATATATTTTGTCATTTCATTTCGTCCTAAAAAAGAGGTAGATGATATCTAGGTGGAAATCAAAAGATAGTATCTAGAATACTGAATTTACACGATTCTAAGCGGTTTAAACGTTTACAAGATAAAATATTATATATATAATATCATAGATAAAAAAATATTATGTAAAACTATATGTTTAGAGAAAAGGAGAATAATAAATTATAAACAAATATGAGAAAAATGTTTGTTTAATTTCTATCAACAACATATAAATATTTCTAAATATATATATGAATATAAAACTTACAAAATTGAAATAATATACTTATTTATTTAAAAATTATAAAGTTGAATTTATGTAATTTTTGACGGTCGTTTAAATGGGGTCTAGATGACTGCTTTGACCGCTTTTTAAGATTACTGGTACTATAATATAATTTATCTGTTTTATTATAAAATTTTAATATAATTAAATATAATAATTTTAAACTAAATTATATTTTACAATACTAGTATAGATTGATATTTGAACAGTACAAAACTCTTTTTTTTTTGAGAAATTGATAACAATAACCTTTTTATGATACCCTCTTTTAAAAATACCCTCTTTTTTTACCATTTTCATTTTTGCCCTTTCTTAATTTTTAATGGCTATTTTACCCCTATTTAAAATAATATTCTTTCACAAAGGAAGGAATATTCCTTCCAAAAATTTTCCCCCAAAATTTCCCCCCCAAAAATTTCCCGCCAAAAACTTTCCCGCCAAAATTTTCCCGCCAAAAA